GCTCGGGCAAACTGTGGACGCGAGTTGCCGAGCCTTTCCCTGTTCGGTTTTGTAAGTTGTTTGCCCGAGCTTTCGAGCAGTATATAAGCAATCTTCAACTCTGCCGTCTCCGGCAGCTTATGCATTAAATTAGCGGCGAATGCCAGAAACCCATTTGGGGTGTTTGGGGGTTTCTCTTCTTCTCTCTCGTTTGTTGTTGTGTGTTTGTGTGGTGTGTGTCTTGTGGTGTTGTTCTGTTGCTGGTCGTCCTTCTCCTCCTCTCTACTGCCGAGCTCTGCCCGAGTGTCGCCCTGTCCTGCTGGACCCGCCTGGCCCGCGACACACAAAATCGTGTCCTGGCCTGGGGGAGCGTCACGATGGGCAATTCTAGAACAGTAATCGTAGAGCGGTTGAAGGCCGTGCAGTGTCGCCGAAACTGCCTCGGTTCAAGCCTTTTTGGTACCCGCCCGCTTCCTCCCTGTTTCTTTTCTTCTCTCTCGTTCGTTGTTGTTGTGTGTTTGTGTGGGGTGTGTCTTGTGGTGTTGTTCTGTTGCTGTTCGTCCTTCTCCTCCTCTCTGCTGCCGAGCCCTGCCCGAGTGTCGCCCTGTCCTGCTGGACCCGCCTGGCCCGCGACACAAAATCGTGTCCTGGCCTGGGGGAGCATCACGATGATGATGATGATGATGATGATGATGATGATGATGATGATGACGACGATGATGATGATGATGTTGATGACGATGGTGATGATGATGATGATGATGATGATGATGATGATGATGCCGATGATGATGATGGTGATGGTGATGATGCTGATGCTGACTTTAATGCTGATGATGATGCTGATGATCATGCAGATGATTATGAGTGTGATGATTGTGATGGTGATGGTGATGGTGATGATGATGACGGCGGTTGTGGTGATGACGATGATGATGTTGGGGTGGTGGTGATGATGATGATGATGATGATGATGATGATGATGATGATGATGATGATGATGATTAGGATGAGGAGGAGGAGGAGGAGGACCAGTCCAAACCCAAGACGCATCCACGATGTTATTCACCCTCCCTACAAGGGTTCCTCGTAATTGGCCCCTACAAGAAGTTGTTTTCACTGCTGGAAATGCCGTGTTTGCAGACAATTGTCTGAGAATCCTCTGTCGTGCCAAACACACAACTCGTTCGACTTCCGTGCCCCGAATGAACGTTACTGTGGCGCCTTGAACATCCTGCGTCGTGCCAGAACACCATTCCTCGGAACACACAGAGTCAACATGCCTCGTGCGCCCTGACAGCCCCATTCCGTGTCGGAGCACAGCTCCCAGGACGTCAACCGCTAGAACCCGTGACACCCTTGCACATGTTAAGGACGAATGCGCACGGCGCTCATGTGAGAACAAGAGCCGCCTTCCATTGGTGAAGCATTTCCACAATTTGAGCACGAATGCGCGTGGCGCTCAGGCGAGAGCCACATTTTGGAAACCAACCGCCCTCTATCCGTGTAACTCTTTGCCAACTCTTCTGAGACAAATGTGCGCGGCGTTCAGGCGAGAGCCACATTTGGAAACGGCCCGCCCTCTATCCGTGAAGCTCTTTGCCAACTTGTTTGGGCGCGGCGCTAATGTGAGAGCCACCTTTTGAAAACGACCCGCCCCCTCCACCCGTGAAGCTCATTGCGAATTGTTACGTAGGACGAATGTGCGCGGCGCTAGGGCGAGAGCCACATTTGGGAAACCACCCGCCCTCCATCCGTGAAAGGGTTTGCCAACTTCGTTGGCACAATAGTGGCGCTGCGCTCAGGCTGGAGCCACATGCCGAGCAAGAGCTGGCCTCCGTCCGCGAAGCTCGTGGCAAACTGCTGCGACGAGTGCGCTTTGACGCCGAGGCGAGAGCCACGTGCTGCAAGCGGCCCGCCCTCCATCCGCGAAGCTCTTGCCAACTCTCGAGACGAGCGTGCGCTTGCGCTCGGGCGAGGGCCACACGTGTTGAGCGAGAGCCGCCCTCCGTCGGCGATGCTCCTCGCGAGCGTCTAAGGGCGAGCGTGCGCGGCGCCAGGGCGCGAGAGAGCCGCCCCTTGGAGAAACGGCCCGCCCTCCTCCCGTGGAGCCCTCGCAAACGCTCGGGGACGAATGCTGCGCGCGGCGCCAGGGCGAGAGAGCCGCCCCTTAGGAGAAGGGGCCGCCCTCCGTGGAGCCCCCGCAAACGTCTCTTGCAGGGCGAGTGTGCGCGGCGCCGGGGCGAGGGCCGAAGGCGAGTGCGCGCGATGCCGAGGCGAGGGCCGCACTTTGAAGACGGCCCGCCCCACATCCGTGAAGGTCATGGCACACCCTGGAGACGGACGTGCGCGGTGCTGTGCCGAGAGCCACACTTTGAAGACGGCCCGCGCTCCACACCCGCAGATCTCCAGACTCTGAAGGCGAGTGCGCGCGATGCTGAGGCGAGGGCCGCACTTTGAAGACGGCCCACCCCACATTCCTGAGGCTGCTGAGGCTGCTTCGGTTCAGGCTCCCTAGCGGCGAGGAAGTCTCAGGCGAAACGGCCGGCCCGCCCTACCGACACGTCTCGGGCTGCGCAGGGAGGAGTTACCTTCATGAGGAGGAGGAGGAGGAGGGATGAGCGAGGATGAGGAGGTGCAAGAGAGATGGGAAGAGGGGAAGGGGAGGGGCGAGGTGCGGGAGAGTCAGGAAGAGGATGTTTCTGTTACAGGCGGTGAGGCTGATCATGCGTTTGATGATAATACTGATGGTGCTGATGATGATGCTGCTGCTGCTGATGATGATGATGATGATGATGGTGATGATGATGATGATGGTGATGATGATGATGATGATGATGATGATGATGATGATGATGATGATGATGATGATGTTGTGTATTTCCAGCCCTCCTGCGCTGGGCCTTCTTTCGGAATCGAGCACTGCGGTCGCGACCCGTACGCCTCTCGCTTTTTTTGTTGTTCTTTGCCTGGTTGATGCCTGCCTGCCTGCCAGCCTGCCTCGTACTTCTCCGTCGTGCGTCACCTCGTCGTCTTCTGGGGTGCGAGACGGCCGCCACCTGCAAGGGCTGCCGCGGGGGGGGGTCCAGCGGAGTGACGTCACACGCAGACTCAGAGTCGACCTCGCCATCCGTGGGGTGGCTGCGAACCGCGAGGCTGGCCCCGCTTTCGAAGGCTGCTGCGGGGTCCGTGTGGGTGGCGTTATACTGCAGACTCAGATGAGACTTCGCGACGCCGTCGCCGCTTTCGAAAGCTGCTGGGGGGTCCAGCAGAGTGGCGTCATACGCAGACTCAGGGTAGACCTCGCCATTCTTGGGAGGGCTGCGAAGTGCGAAGCTGCCGCCACTTTCGAGGACTGCTGATGAGCAGACGCGCAGAAACACCGACCCAGAAGAGACATCGCCATCACTGCTGGGGGACTGCGAGCTGCGAAACTGTCGCCACGTTCGAGGGCTGCTGGTGGGTCCATGGGAGTGACGTCATACGCAGGTTCATATTCGACCTCGCCATCCTTGGGGGGGCTGCGAACTGCGAAGCTGTCGCCACTTTCGAGGGCTGCTGGGGGGCCCAGCGGAGTGACGTCACACGCAGACTCAGATTAGAACTCGCCATCCCTGGGAGGTTGCGAACTGCGAAGCTATCGCCACCTTCGACGGCTGCTGGGGGCCAGCGGAGTGATGCTCTATGCAGGCTCGGTTTCGACCGCGCTGCAAGCTGCAAACTTGTCGGAACGTTCGAGGGCTGCTGGGGTGTCCAGCGGAGTGACGTCATACGTAGACTTAGTTTATACCTCGCTATCGTTGGGAGGTCGTGAACTGCGAAGCTGTCGCCACCTTCGACGGCTGCTGGGGGGTCAGTGCTGTGACGTCGTACGCAGGCCCAGACTCGACCTCGCCATCCGTGGGAGGCTTGCGAACTGCGAAGCCGTCGCCACGTCCGAGGGCTGCTGATTAGCAGAGATGCAGACACGCAGACCCAGACGAGACGTCGCCATCCCTGGGGGGCTGCGAACTGCGAAGCTGTCACCACTTCGATGGCCGCGGGGGAGGGGTCAATGGAGTGGCGTCATGCGCAGGTTCAGATTCAACTTCGCCATCACTGGGGGCTGCGAACTGCGAAGTTGACGCAACTTTCGATGGCTGCTGGGGAGTCCAACGGAGTGACGTCAGACGCAGCCTCAGACGAGACGCTGCCATCTCTCAGGGGCTGCGAACCGCGAAGCTGTCGCCACGTTCGAGGGTTGCTGGGGGGGGTCCAGCAGAGTGACGCCACATGCGGACTCTGATGAGACGTGGCCGTTTTTGGGGGGCTGCGGATGGCGAAGTTGTCGCAGGTCTCGAAGGCTGCTGGGAGGGGGGGCGGGGTTCAGCGGAGGGTCGCCATGCGCAGAGTCGGGCGAGGCGTCGCCGTTCCCAGGGATCCGCGAGCTGCGAAGGTGTCGCCGTGTTCGAGGCTCGTTGGGGGTCCAGCGGAGTGTCGCCGTACCCAGATTCAGGCTAGGCCTCGCCCTCTTTGGGGGGGCTGTGCACTGCAAGTGTGCCGCCACTTTCGGCTGCTGTTGGGGGGGAGCGGAATGACGTCAAACGCAGATTCAGATTAGACCTCACCATCTTTGAACACCGATCTGCTGCCCTGCTGCTATCAGTGTGAGCGCAGCCCCTTTTGCACCAGCCAGCGCGCCAGCACAGGCTCCACGGATCTCGGGCGCGGGCCGCCCGAGAGGCAGTAAAACCTGGGGCCCCAGGCTTGGGCCCACAGTGGTTGCGGGAGCACGGGAGAGGGGCAGAGGGAGAGCAAAAGAGGAAAGGGATAGGCGGGTTGAGGCGAGCCTGGAAATCTTCACACGCCCTCAAAAGGAGA